ATCTTGTTTACCAACCTTTGATACGTTGCTCCAGCATTTTTTAGTCCAAAGGGCATGACCCTGTAATAATATATAGCCGAGTCTGCCATGAATGTGGTCTTTTCTTGATCTTCGTCTGCCATGAGTTTTTGGTGATATCCCAAAAAGCATCCAAGAAGCTGTACATCATATGACCTGACGTGCTGTCCACACGGTTGTCAATTCGAGGTAGAGGATATCTGTCTTTGGGACATGCTTTATTCAGATTCGTGAAGTCAATGCAGACTCGCCATTCCTCGTTCGCTTTCTTGACCAGAACTACGTTAGCAAGCCAATCAGGATATTATACTTCCCGAATGAACTGTGTGTTAACAAGTTTGGCAATCTTCTCCTTTATGACTTCTCGTCTTTCGAGTGCAAACTACCTTTTCCTTTACTTCACAGGCCTTACCTCCGGGTTTACATTGAGTCTGTGCACCGCAACCTCTTGGTCAATTCCAGGCATGTCCTCAACATTTCAAGCGAATACATCAATGTTATAGGAGAGACAATCCAGTAGTTCAGCCATGATTGCTGTATTCAACTCCCGTCTGACTGTCACTTTCCTGCTAGGCTCGAGCTCGACCTTTTCCAATACTTCCAGTGGAGACAATCTGTCATAATTCCCGTGCTCGAGCTTGAGCTCGGTAATCTGTATGACATCGCTCTTGATTCTTCGAATACTAGTCACATAACACTGTCCTGACACTGTTTGGCTACCTCGAACTATCCCAATTCCATTACTTGTAGGAAATTTCATTGCTAAGTGAAAAGTTGAGACAATAGCTCGAATTCTATTGAGCAATGGTCTTCCCAATATGGCGTTGTAGGCCATTGGAGTACGGACAACTTCAAAGGTGGTGATCTGCGTCACCTGTTTACCTTCTGTCTCCAATGTTAAAGGCAACCCAAAGATACCTTTCGGGGTGATGACCTCATCTCCAAATCCTTGGAGAGGTGTTTTGACTAGATTGAGCCGCTCCAATGAGATCCTCATTTGAACAAAGGCTTCATGAGACAGTACATTAGCTGCACTTCCGATGTCTACCAGAATTCTCTTGACTTCAAAGTTGGTGATGATGACCGATATGACCAGAGCATCATCATGAGGGAATACTATGCCTTCCAAGTCCTCCATTCCAAAAGTGATATCCTTTGTACAACCAAGATCTGATCTTGAGATGATTGAAGGCTGCCTGGCATATTGTTTACGCTCGTTACTAGAATCTCCCCCCGAGGCTGTTCCTCCGACAATGATATTGATAGTACCTGCGGTTGGTTGCTTGTTTCCTCGACCCTCTGGGACCTTGTCTCTGTTCTGATTATTCCTTGGGCGCTTGTCATTACTAACATACGAACCCAAAAAACCCCTTTTTATAAGAGCTTCAATCTCTCGTTTTAAGGCAAAACAATCCTCCATTGTCTGCCCGTGGTCTCTATGGAAATCACAGTACTTATTCTTGTCACGAGTATCGGGTGGAGATCGCAACCTGAGAGGCAACTTCAGTTCCTTCGAATCCTTGATCTACATCAGAATGTTGGACCTCAAGGTATTCAAATGGGTAAAGGAGGTTGAGGATGGGTCTTGCCTTGGCTTGACCCGAGGTACATCTTGTCTTAGACTGGACTCATGCGGCCTTTTTTGATCAGACTTTCCTTATGAAGAAACTTCTCTTTTTAGGGCCATGGTTTCTTCCATATTGATGTACTTTTAAGCTCGTGTGAGTGGCTCGGTGACTAACTTCGACGGGGTCTTAGACAAGGACATCTTGAATGCTTCATACTTAATGGTGTATGTTAAAACTGAGACTGCGACGGTGATATGTAGATCGGGAATCTAAAGCCTTTCTTTATTGAACTTGGTCATGAAAATGCGCATTGTCTCGTTGGGTCCTTGACGCATCTGCATGAGTGATGCGACTGTTTTTCTGATTCGCTTGCTGCTTGCAAAGAAAGTGGAGAACTTATCGACCAAATTTGAGAAGGAGGCGATATAGTTGGGTTCCAATGTGGAAAACCAATCTCTAGCTATGTTCGTGAGGGTCTAAGGGAAGGCCTTGCACATTACTGCATTTGGTGCAACCTGTAAGTTCATGATATCCGTGTACACATTGAAATGATTGATGGGGTCGATTGTCCCATCGTACTCCTTTATCCAATGATACTTGAGTCAGTCGGGGAAGGGATGCCGAATGCGAGAGGACTTATGTAGTGGATGGCGTATTGGGGATGAACCCTGTTGCTGCCCGAGTATTTTGTTGCATACCCGCTGCTATCCCTTCTTGAATAATTCTAGCAAGTTCAGCGGAGTCCATTGTAACGGACCTTAAACCTAAAGTCACTTGCGGTGCACCTGAAGTTCCAACCCCGCCGTCATCATGAGCTGTACATCGAACTCGAGCCCGGGCGTCTGCCATAAAACCACCTTCGGGGTTGGGATATGCAACGGGTGCGAATTTCTCTGGCTTAACAATTGGGTTAGTGCAACCACCCGTTGACAAAGTTCCTCAAAAGCTCTGGCGGTAACATTTGCTTGAGGAAGGGCTGGCATCTCCGACGATTCTTCTTGAGGGACATGGCGTTCCTCAAGAGGATGAGGGTTATCCGGGACAGATGAGCTTGCTAGAGAAAGACCTGAACGTGTATTGACCATGACTTTTGGTAGCGTTTCCACAGACGACGCCAATGATGTTACCAAAAAATAGAAACTGAAAGATTTCGAACTTGATGATCGAACTCCGAACTTTGATGAACACGAACGGTCTTCGAATACCTGCAACAAAGGCAACGAGGTGTGTGCTCGTCGCCCCTCCGATGCTTAAGTCAAATAGGGAATTTAGTGCGTGAGGCTGTAAACTAGAAATAATGAAAAACATAACTCAAAAATGAGCCCGGGTTATGTATTTATAGGTGCCGATGATAGAGTCCTAGGAGGACTTAGCCATGTGTGATCCTTATCCTTGTAGGATAAGGAGTTAGTGTTTCATTCCAAGCATTCAACCATTGTTTGAGTCGAAAAGTGAGTCTAGCTAGGTAAGAATTGTAGGTTGGGTAGAATTTGTGTTCCCCTAGGTCATCAAAAAGACCTGTCATGACGTCACAGAGGCCCGACCTAAGTACCCCGACCTCATATTGATGATTTTTAGGCAGGGCCAAGTTCTGGGTAGTGTGGTCGAGTCCGCGATCGGATATTTCTGGGGTGATCAATCTTCATTAAAGAATGTATCATTTGATTTTCATAATTTATCTTCATTAAAGAATGGATAATTTAATTATCATAATTTATTTCAACTTTTTCTCTACATCTTCTCGCTTATGCATGGGACCCATAATTAGTGCAATACACATCTTCATTGGAGATGCTCTTCTCTCAATTCTCATTTTTCCTTGTCACGTGCATAACAATTAATGTTGTTACGTTGAAGATGCTATTCTAGAGGGAAAAAGTCACACATGCAGGGGTGGACTTGACCCATTAAAGGTCCAGCGGGTGCAAAAAGATGTTATTCTAGAGGAAAGAAAGTCACACATGCAGGGGTGGACCTGACCCATTAAGGGTCCAGCGGGAGCAATTAATTTTTTACATTTACATAGCTCATAATTTTTAGTTCATAACATTTAATTTTTACATAATTCTATCTCGTCTCCACTTAATGATGTTCCCATATCATCCTCCCCTGCCCACATGTATGATATCGTAAACAAAGAAAAAGGACAGCAAAATTTCTCCTTACACAACATTTAAATAAAAAAAAAAATTAATTTAAAAAATGCATGAGTAGCCACTCAATTATTAATTAATAAGTACGTATTTATTACGGAATAAAAATTAATTTACGTAATAAAAATTAATTTATTGGTTAAATAATGAGTGCAGTGTGGCGAGTTTGAGAAGTGCAATAATAGAATATAATATGTGAGAACCATCAATGGATTGGACAAAATAAATACTATAATTAGTTTATGAATTTCATGTGCATCTTCCACCAAATTATTCATTTACATTTTTCGTGACCTTCTAAATCAAACCTACCAAATTACAACAGTAACAAATTCAAGTTTTAATCTAGTTTCAATTAATCTCAAAAGTGAAACTATTTGGTCCTTAAATGGATTTTTGTGGATTCGATTATTTTTATGGATTAAATTATTTAAATAACTTTGCTTATCTATAATTATCTTTTCTCAAGTCACTTCAGTAAAAATCCCATAATTTCGAGAAAATTGCTAAACATTTTATGGACAATTCAACGTGTATTGCACCAAAAGAATTAATTTCATAACTAAATCAAGAAAATAGCCATAAAACATTAATTCTATTATATGTTAATATTTTGACTTTATGTTTTGCTCACGAATACAAGAAAGAAAACACGTTTCCTTTTTTCTATATTTTCTTTTCCTTTTCTTTTTCTTCTTCTTATTATGGTTCATTGATTTGCTCTCACTTGATTATTAATATTTGTAGTAGACATTATATATATTGGTATTGCAGTGCATGTAATGGACATATTATTATTAAGAGAAATTTAGGACTACCACCTTGTTGATAAAAAACTGAAAATCACTATATGGTTTGAAACTTTGGAAGATTTTGACGATAAATACTGAAGAATTTATAAATGTTTCGCGTTAATCAAGGATTTGAATTTACATTAACAAAAAATTCTGTTATTGAGTCGCAAATTAATTAAAATATATCACATCAGAGCTTTATGAAATCTTTCTCTATGAACACTTCTTACACTGAAAGATATTTTATTCTCATGTCAAAAATCCACGTGAAAACAAAATGTGAACTTTCTGATATTTTATTTTGTATTATTTCTTAGTGCTTCAATTGGAACACGACATGGATAATCAGAATTTTGTATGGACAAAGTTAAAACTATACTGCTGATGAAGAACAGAAACAAAAATCTTAAACATTGTGTGTTATATATTTATCTGTGTATAAGATTAGTAATATCAAGTGAAATAAACTAAGCAGCAGCGTCATCGTCGTCTTGTGGTGGTTCATAATTCAAATCAGGAAGTTTGTACTTTTGCAGTCCCGTTGCGCCATCACCCTCCTCTTCTCGGCCTTCTTGAACCTCCATCGCCTCTTCCCCGGCCTGTGCTTCTTGCTCTACGTCAGCAGCTGCACGGCCTGGATTCAGATGGCCGGGGAAGTCGGCGAACTCCTCTTCAGCCCTAAACGTTGGCGGTGGAAAGGCACCTTTCCACCCTCGATCGGGATGCTGTCTCATGTGACCGAAGAGAGCCTTAGCCGATTGGAATTGTTTACCACAAACACTGCACTGAAAGGGATTTCCGCCATCTCCCCGCCCACCTTGATTTCCTTCCCTTACTCTTTTCCTGATCATGGGGTTTCCAATCCTCACCCCACCGGCTGCATAGCCGCCGCCACCACCACTTCCACCCACAGGAATTGCCTGCACCCCAAATAACCCACTGCCACTTACATTTCCACTAGCACCTGCTGCACCGCCTGACGATCCCCCACCCCCAGGTTGGCTTTGTGGCCTATAGGACCTGAAGGCAGAGTGTCCCGGACGGCCCATTACATGTGGAAGTGGAAGTGGAAGTGGAGCCATGGGTGGCCTTTGCATCGGAGAAGAAATATAACTGCCGCTGCCACGTTGAGGGCTGCTTTGATCAGGGTCTTGTGGGGCTTGTGCCCTATAGGCACGGAAGGCAGAGTGTCCTGTACGGCCCATTACGGGTGGAGCCATGGGTGGCCTTTGCAACGGCGATGAATCCGCATGGGGAGAAGAAGTATCGCCACCGCCGTCTTGAGGGCTGCTTTGATCTGGCTGTTGTGGGTTGTCGGGATTGGAAGAAGATCCCTCGGATCCGCCACTACTGGTTTTCTCCATGATTGATTATTTATATTAAAGAGTGAGAATAACAGTGTTGTAACTTCGAAGATGACAACAATGGCGATGGAGGCGGATATTTATAGTGGAGGGAAACTTTTGAAAATGGTAGCGTTTCATCCCTAATCCCATCACACGCGACTCAAAGTAAAGAGTTGCTTTGTTTCATTTTGAACACTCTGGTGGGAAGGGACGGCTGGGATTTTTTCCCGGCGACTGTTTGGAAGCGATGCCGGAGCCATTTTCTCCTCATCAACTTTTGGCTTCGCTAATTCGCTTTGTATTGTAAAAAGGCGCGAAACTACTGACAAATATAAAATATAACTGACCAAATCATTTTTTTCTCTCTTTTTTGGAGTCGGTTATTTGCATGAATGTGATATAAGGGGAAAGAAGAGTGATGCTACAGCCTTCAAGGTTGACATCTGAGTTGACACAATACGCACACATAAGGGTGACTTTTTTTATTCACCTGGAACTCACGCACTCCATGTGAGGGTGCAGTCATCATCGCAGCCACTGGCGTGGATCGTTTGGCATTTTTCGGTTAAAGAATTACGCAATTTATCATTATGATAATTGAACATTGGTGATGTGGCAGTCCAAGTGGAATAGTGGGTTGGACAGACAAGGATTGTGAAGGATAATGGATTGCCATATTTTTTATATTTCATCATTATAGTGATAAATAGCATTTCTCAAAGTGAAATGGAGGAAAAACGAAAGAAAATTTATATAGAAAATGTAAAAATGAATAAATAATTTTTTTTGGCCGAGATTAAATTAGTATTGATCCAAAAAGGGGAAAAAAAAAAAACCGTGAAGTTTGCAGGACTTTGATTTTCGATGGCATTAGTGAAGTTTGTTGTAAGAAATGAGCATTCCTAAAGTAAATTTTAAAGCGTCGCTTGAAGGACCGGAAAGATACAATAGAAATAAGTAACAATCTATAATTATATGAAACTTTAATAACAAAAGAAAAAACTCACAATATTATTACAAAATCACGTCCAACGTGTGTGTTCCTGACTAGCCATAGAAGTATTGTATATCCGTTACATTGTATTCCAACAACTTTCCGAATCCGTCTCTCTTGTCTGATGGTGGACATCTATCGATTTTATTTTCGAGTGTATTTTCTAATGATATTTATAGTCGACCATATTGTAGAACAACAGATATCTTCACCTAATTAACTCTAAGCAATGTCATTCTAGAGTTGGACAAACCGTTGAAATCATAATTGTGACTATGACATTTAGCCCCTCTTTGGTGTAAATTAAAATTAGATTTTAGTATATTTTGATAAAAATTGATGAAATGTATGTGATTAAATTTAATTGTTGATTTTGATTTGAGACTTTCAATATATTTTAATCTACACCTAGGGCTTAATAGAGTTTCAAACAGATTCGAAATAGCAAAATTATGATCAACAACTATTCATTGCTTATTTCATTGAATCCCACACATTATCGATTACATTTAAGGATATAATACAGATCATGATAAGAGAATTATAATAAGAATATCAAATCTTAATGCAAGTCTATTGTTCGCTAAAGAGACCTAAAAGTCATAGTTCTTATAAATGTGACGTATTAAATGTCATAGTATTTAGCAATGACAATAAAAATCACACATTATAAAAGGTTGTACCCCAATCTTGAGGGTCCTCATCCCACTGCCCCACCCCTGGAGCATCATGAGGGAAGTAAATCGCGGGATGTGTCATAGGAGACCAGGGAACAAGAGTTTGTCCGTACACTGGTGCCTACAAAGAGTCCAATTCCATATTTTAGGAATTGAACCCTCACACTATGACTGTCAGCAAGGTTGAGACTACCTCACTCATGTCCTTTACACCATTGGGTTATGCCCCGGGGGGCAAAAAAATATAAATAAAAAAATCACACATTATAGGTAACACGTTAGGATAAATTAGACATTATAGGCAGAGAAATTTAAAATACGGCTACTACTTCAAAGTAAGTTGCTCTATTAAGGGGTCCATAAATATTGGCACAACTTTTTGTTTTAAAATAGAAGGTAATATGCACACATAAGAGTGCATCAAAACTCAAAATGCGGCGACGACTTCAAAGTAAGTCGCTCTGCTGAGGGGTCGTAAAATCACAAATTTTGACACAACTTTTAGTTTTAAAATAGAAGATAATATGCACATAAAGAGTGTAATAATATTTAAAACGCGGCTACGACTTCAAATTTAGTCGTGCTATTAAGGGGTCGGAACATCACAATTTTTGACAAGACATTAGTTTTAAAATAGAAGGTAGTATGCACACATAAAGAGTGTAACAATGCTCAAAATTGAAAATTGTTTGAACATAAATGTAACAATACTAATATATTTATTTCGATACCATTTTAAATCAATAAATTAATACGAGATTCTATAAATATTATACCCTAGATCCAATCAACTTTGGACATAAATACTTTTGATATATAATTAATGCAATTTAATGGCATGTCTATTATTTAATTAATAGACAATTAAATAAATAATAAAGTCAGTAGATTCAAATCTTCGTAATTTGTTAATCGCAAGGAGTTGTGATTGTGAGATACAAATTACATCTGATTGAATCTTAAATCATCCGTAGTCGTAAGTAATAACGAGATACGGATATCGTTATTACGGATAGACCATCACGTGTGGCATTTCTTACTTGTGAAGTAAGTAGTTGATCTCACAAGTTAAAGTGTGGTGACACTTAAATAAACGCGTGGATGTTTTGTTATAGAACAAAACATTAGAGACCCGCCGAGAGATTCCACATGGATAACTATCTGAGTGTCAGTGGTTAATCTCTAACGTTCGGTAGTGGAATTGGTCCTTTGACTTGAGGTCGTCATGGTACCTTATATGAGGACAGTCATACTTTGGCGGTGTTGGATGTTGCTCTGCAAAGGGCTGCTAATACGACATCGTTCGGGTATGTCAAGAATCGTATGAAGGTTGTGATTGATCAATAAAGGATTCGTTACTCTTAGATAGTAGGAGATTATGATCTGCGTTTCATTCAATTAAGTCGATGATGAAATCTTTGGCCAATGTGTACTCATAAGTCGAAAAGGAGTTTTCGATTTATATTGACTTAATAGTAGAGTGAAAGATATGATCGAAATTCGAGATTAACACAATTCCATATCTCGTAATTGATCGGATCATATTGACGAAGGGATTATAGTTTCACGGTAAACAAACGAATTTGATTTTGTCATATCACGTGACATTTTTCGTCACATGCATTGCCCTGACACATTACTAGATGTCAATTAGGGACGGCGAGTGTGAATTGACGATAAATTAAAAGGGTGTTTTAATTTATCATTTTTGTATTTCACATCTTTAGGCATCGTGGTCGGGAACCTAATGGGTCGCACACAAAAGAGAATTGGAAGATTGCAAATTGTCAATTGGTTAATTTAACAATCGTTGGATAAATTAATTAATTGAATTTGTTATTTATATTCCCGAATTAATTAATTGGATTAATTAATTCACGGATCGGGTTTAATTAATTAGATTAATTAAATGTTGGATCGGACCGGGCCGAGCCCGTTTGGGTTTATATAAATACATGGCTAGGGTTTGAGGTCCATATGATTTTCATTATTCTTACTGGCACAAGAGAGAAAATCCTGATAGTTGCAATCTTGTTTTCTGTGTGGATTAACGTTGGAGACTGGACAATTGGACAGTTGTGGATGGCGAATCAAGATTGCTGGAACGAAAAGAATAGCAAAGAAGTTTGCAGATCTGAAAAATGTACAATCTTATCACAATTTCTATCTAAACACAAAGGCGATTCTTGGTGGGAATCGAAAATTATTTTAAATTCCACTGTGTATGTATAAGTAGATTCCTAACAGATTCAACCATACAATTTATGCTTGCAATTTCATTATTTAGATACATATAATATTATCACATATAACTTATTATTATTCTAAAGGGCCAAAATGAATTCAACTAACAAGTAAATATTTTGAAGTATAAATTGATCTAATAATTAACATATCTTGGTTAAAACAAGTATTAAAAAAAAATAAAAATAGGTGAACTGTTTGGTTTCAAACAGTTTTAACCACAAAAATCTTAACCAAAGCAATTTCAAACGATTTGGTTCAGTTTTAAACTTGTTGAAATCTAAATCATGTGGACCCAAATTAACTATTTAAAAACCACGATTCCAATTTAATTTGACAAATTGAATCTCTCTCTCTCTCTCTCTCTCTCTCTCTTTTTAATCCTCTCTAAGTAACAGTGAAGGATTTTTCAATTTAAGGAGCAAAAACAAGGGCTCAGCCTAATTTTTACTAAAATATAAGCACACAGGAAGAAGTGGGTATTTTACTATTTTCTTTGGGGAAAGGTTCATATATATGCTTATGAAATATGAAATATTTCAAAATATACAGAAAAAGATATTTAATCATATAATATACAACTTAACACCCAAAAAACACAAGACATATTGTGGCAGAAACTTCCCCCATTTATAGAGTTTTTAACTAAAATTTTGAGTATACATAAATCACGCTTGCATTAAATTGCATAGCTAATGAGAAATCGAAATTGAAAATACCAATAAACCCTGTTTCCTAGTTTTGTAATCTTTGAATTTCATCAGTGTTTTCTAATTTCTACTATGAATTGGGCTGTCGATGAATATATTTTTCAGAAGGCATGCAAAGTAAGATTCACGATGAATGGAACATCCTGAAATGCAGCTTCCATTTGTCCTCTATGTATAATTCATATTTCATGCTTCAGCATTGTGGATATTCTTTATTTCAGTTTAATCAATTTCGTAAATTGATGTTTTATTCCATGGTTTTCATGTCTTCAACTATACAATTCAGGTATCTTAAATTCTGGAATGTGATCCTGCATTTGGATATATAAATTGTCTGCTTGGCCTCTTGTGTCTATGAGTTTTTATAACAATCGTATGACTTTGTGGATGTTTTCCCCCTTTTTGTGCAATTTCATGGAATTGTTTACAAAAGTGTGTGCACTCTAAATAATTGGTAATTTTGCGACTTCTTTGTATATAGATTCATACCATCATTTCTTGTTTTGTTGATTGCATCCTTAATTCACACGAGTACGTTTTGTTTCATAGATGTATGATACATGTTACGTTTTTTTTTTTCACTAAATCAGATAAATATTCTATTATGTTTGGTTGCAGGATATGTAATTTGTAAAATGTGTACATAATTTGTGAGGCAAATACGTTTGGACTTTTCGTGCCTACTTGTTGCAAATATTTGGAACTCATTGAGACTATATCTGTCGAGTTGAAGATCAATAATAGGATGGCTATTTTGAAAATAGGATATAAAGTGGGTGGAAACAAATCCCTAATATCTCCGCAACCCACGAGAGAATAATGGATTTGATCCTAATATTATGGAATAAAAAAAGTTACATATGAACAATGCCATTTGCCTGATGTGAAAAAATTTATATTTTCCTGGGTTTCCATTGATGTGATTCCATTTTCTGCCTAAAGATGAAGATGATGAAATTTGAGAATTTTAGCTTTAATTGAGGGTGAATTAAATTAGAGGCTTGTTTGATGGAAAGATATAAGTTACCAAAATTTATTATTCATTTGTCTTTGATAAATCGTTTTTATTTTACTGGTCAAAGTTGAACTTGCATTGCAGATTATTCTAAAATACTTTTAAAGTGATGTAAAAGTAATATTGTACCAATTTGTTGGAGGATTTGATGAATTCGGATGAATTAAAGAAAATAAAATTTAGCATAGAAATTCAAGAGAAAAAAATTGTACTCTCAAAACTCAATTTCTATGATTTAAATTTTTTATAATGATGAATTACTATAAATGAGCAATCTTTTTATATTACATTTGATACATAAAATTAATTGTTAATACATAAATTTAAACACCTATTAAATTTTTTAGATATATGAATATGAATAAATTCATCTATTATAACTCTAAATTCATATAATTCAAGATTTATCGAGTGAAAATTCATTGAATCTAGATTAATGTGAATGTTAATTAATTGAAAATTAATAACACAATAATATTTATTACATATTGAAAAACGAAAAGCAAGATATTATTGAATAATTGAATTGTAAGGGAGGTTAAAATCGTCTAAAAAATGATTCTCTCTTGATGCAATACTTTAATACTTTAATTTAATATACTAGTAGTAAGCACGTACTTTGCACACTTATGTAGCGGATGAATTATATGTATAATAATTGGAAATATAAATATGTCAAATCAAATTTAAAAAGTAAAGTTTGTATACGTGAATATTAGAACGTAAGAACGATGCATAATTTTTTATTCATTGACAATATTCAAAATCACAAAATATAAAATATTGAACCTCATTAAATTTGTCAAAAGTAAAGACACCTTTAGTCTCTTTGATATGATTCTAGATGCATGTCTCTTCTAACAACATTGTGAAAGCCAAAAGGAAATGATCAAACATCATAAAAAATAATTGAGAAGAATTTAAAATCAAAAGCTAGTTTTAAATTCTATTCCCTTGATAATTTTAAGAAACGGAGATAGACAAATCCCTTGACTGGTATCTTGATTTATTTTATGAAACACAATTTTTTGAGAAGAAGAAATAACGAAAGTGAGTGAGAAGATGGGGACAGTGCATAATAAACTCATATAGAAAATATTAAATAATAAACACCCTTAATAAATATGATTTTGATGGCTACACATTCTAGTTAAAAAATTGTAAATGTGTTATACTACTTATGTTTATCAGAAAAATTTTCAAATTCAAAAACAGTAGTCAAATCAATAAGTTTTAAATGATAAGTAGGGATGACCGTCATACTCGCTTAATCGGGTATTCGGGGTAGGGAATTCCGTTTCGAGGCGGGTAAGGGTAACACCCGCCCAACTTTGTTAATTTTTATTTGTTTTCAAGTATTCATACTTTAAATGAAAAATTCTACAAAATTTCATTAATTCTAATAGAAGATGACAACTAAAATTATTTGAGGAATATAATAAATAATAAAAATCTTAGTTTAACAAACATATTCAAATAATTTAACTTTTAAAATTAAATAAATTAAATAAAAAATTTAACTACTATATTATTATCTTACTTTAATGAATTGAGAAATAAAATGAATTATCAAAAATTTAAAGAAAAAAGGTTACATAAATGGGTGAAGGCCCTGCCTTAAACGAGTAATGGGACAGGGACGGGGCGAAAAAATCACCGACGAGACAAAGGGTGGAGGAACTCTCCCCATTGCCATCCCTTGATAAGTAACACTACATCAAAAATCAATTTTTGCAACGGGCAAAAAACGTTGCCGTAGACCTATTGCAACGTTCTGGCGTCTGTTGTGGGTTTTAACATTGCCGTAGAGCGAAGAGTTTTGGCAACTCTCATTGCGCGTTGCGAAAACTTGGTTTTGGCAACGTGCATTGAACGTTGCCAAAACATCTTTCGACAACGTTCAATGCACGTTGCGAAAACTGGGTTTTGGCAACGTGCAATGAACGTTGCCAAAACACCCTTTCGGTAACGTTCAATGCACGTTGCAGAAACTGGGTTTTGGCAACGTGTAATGAACGTTGCCAAAACACCATTTTCGCAACGTGAAATACACATTGCAAATGAGGCTTTTGACAACGTTCAATGAACGTTGCAAATGAGACTTTTGGCAACGTTCAATGAACGTTGCCGTAGGTCGTTTACTATTTTTTCCCCATTTTTATAACAATTTATCAAATCAACCACAAAATGAAAAAGACTTTTTGGGCCTCCAATTGATATAATTTTATTAATCTATACCAAATAATCAAAACACATCATTGTAATAAATCAAAGAAAGGTTTTGATTGACGTATTGCCCATCAAATAAACATCATCTTACACTCCTCTTAAACAACAGAAAATTATTGTATAAAAGAAGATAATTTACAACTTGTTGCCTTCAAACCGTTGGGTTTGCTAGCTCTAAAAAATTCTTCTCATTACTTTCCTCTTGGCCTGCACCTATCTTTTGAATGCAATGGGTAAATTCAACATTCATGATCGTCACAGAGAAGCTTGTCCTCAGAAAACTCAAATCGAGTATGAGAATTTAGTTTCAATGATTCAGAAAACTCACATGTAAGATCGACCTTGAAATGGATTAAAGGTTGAAGACCATTAGTTGAGGACCAATGCTGCAATTCTCCATGTTGTTATATATTCTTAAAATAGTAAAAATGGTTGGGAAAGAACAATTAAAACTTCGGTACCTTTCTGATAATAGTAATCCAGTTGTGATAGTCATGATCATCAATATTGGTTTTTACATTTGCAGCATTCCTCTACCCCCATGGGTGCTTGAAGAGATCAGCAAAAATCCCGACCTTGCTACACAGATAGATCAGGTCGCCGCAGCACAGAATATATATAATTGGGTTGCGACTCATTGCCTGTTCTCAGAGGAGGAACACCAATTCAGGGCTATTCAGACCATATGAAGAGTTTCAAAGAAAGGTTCAAGGATTATATGGGAAAGGTTATAGTGGTAAGGCTCTAACAATCCTCACAAATCCTAATGTTCATCTTAAACATTTATAGAAACGTCCATTGTAGTAAAGTTTTCTTCATATTGGTTCATTCACTATAGAAATTGTTTGGTTCCCAAGCATTCACTATATGCATCAAACAGTCAAAAAAAAAAACTAACTTTGCGGGCATGTTTGGTCCATGACTAGATTATTCTCCACTACTATTCAATCCACCTTTACCACACAAGTCATGATAACAATTAAGGGAATAAAGAGCCAATATCTCTTTTCTTCACGTTTCAATCAAAGATAATAGAAATGATAAACAAGAACTCAAGATCAAAGGCTCAGACAAAAAAATCAAGTCTTTAATAGCTTTGAAATAAACCAATTTTCCTTCGGCAATACAAAAAATTAGTCCAATTTATTAAGGAAGACTTACTGATGTCATTTGTTATGCAAATTACACTCTCTTCTCACTTTAGCAAGACAAGCAAAAGCTTGAGAAAATTAGCATAGTATAGAGACGAGGGAAAATTATAACCAGAGAACGAAAAACAGTATCAATAAAATACTTAATCGAAATTATGTGAGCATCCCAAGTTACCTAATAGTTACTATCAACACAGTGGACAAATTTAAGTTTTAGAGGTATGCTTAAAATATCACATGTCAAGGACCCACATTGCTCTTTATTTCATTTTGTAACCTACAAACGAACAACAAACAATTCTCTAGAAACTCAAATTTGCTTTCTCTTTAATGCAGGAGATACAAGTGGGGATTAAAATCATATTTTTAGTAAATTTTAATGTAGGATGAAAGGGAGCAAGTTGGTCTTCAACGTTTAATCCCTTGGTTGCATCGGCTCTTAGATACAACATAAGCCATAGATATTTTTTCGAGGTCCTTACTTTATGAGCAAAATCCCAACTCCCTGAATACAGGTCCGGATTGTTCAGTGCTTTCGGATTTAATCCCGGAAATTGCTTCCCAATGCCAAGTTTGTTATCCTCCTCACTCACTTTGTGAATTAGAGAATGATCTAAAAAGGACAAAGTGAAAACAGATTTGACAACAAGCAAATGAAGTCTAAATAAAAATGCCTAAATAAAAATATATTTTTAAGTTGAATATTTTTCACCATTCTTACTTGAAATATCCAACACTTAAAAATGTCGTGATTAATGTCGCCACCTTTCGAAAGTCAGTCTTGGATACAACTTGCCTTTATCAATTAAGTTTATTCTAAGAGTAAGGATTCAAATAAAGGGTCTTTCCATCTTTCTCAACATGGAAAGGTCCAATTTCCTCAGCTAATCCATATGCAATAGATGAACATCTAGGCCTGAACATAGCTAAAGAGTCAGAAACAAGTTTCCACGTTGGCTACAAATTACATCTCGCCAAAATAAATTACAATGGAAATAACATAAATGGAGAGAACTCCGCAGTATCAAATTTGATAACTAACTAAAAAGTGAAAAGGAGTACAAATCCAAGATGGAGTTTATATAAGTTATTGAAGTTTATAATTGAGAACAGGGAAGAAATAGCACTATATTTCTTGAACTAATTTCATAGCTAATGATAAAACGTTTTAGAAATTTCAACTAATAATATTGGCCCAGAAGGATCATCAGGATGCTCTTTTAGCTCAGAAATAATATCACAATTTGATGAGCAAAATCACATGATTCTATGTCTGTATCTCCCAATATCATAACAAATTTTAAGTACTCTAAAACAAATTCAACAAAAGGGGAAAAAAATGAATTGCACATTTCTGGAGGCTAATAGTAATGAATTAACATTAACAAAATAAAAAATTGAATTTTAAACAAAATTGATTTAAAAAAGGAAGGGTCAGACTAAATTGACCTCCATTGAACCAAAAGAACAATAGGCTTGGAAGAAGGGTCCTCATCGGCCTCAAAGAACCAATAAAATAATGCTCTCCCGACTTCCCTATTGATTGTAACATGGCCCGCATAATGTGCAAAACTCACATTAAAATTCTGCCCTGGAAGCTCCCAGACTCTATCTAGTTGCTGTTGGGCATATGAGAAGAAATTGGGAGTGAGAGTGAGAACGGTGGCGGGAGAGTGAGAGAGGGGGAAGAAATTAGGGTTGGTTTGAGTTTATACCAAACTAACAGGGTCGGGTCGATTTGGGTTTTGTATGATTTTATATTTAACGTTGAATTTAGTCAATTTACTACGAAAAAATTAATGACAACGTTCAAAAAACGTTGCCAAAGATACTTAACCGCAACATTCAATGAACGTTGCTAAAACAAACCAAAGAACGTTGCTAACGTTCAATGAGCATTGTTAAAAAATATATAGAAACGTGCATTGCCCGTTGTAAAAACTTGTTAACGGCAACGTTCAATGAATGTTGCTAAAACTGATTAATGGCAACGTTCAATGAACGTTGTCGTTAACAAGTTTTTGCAACGGCAATGCACGTTGCCAAAAGTAATTAACGGCAATGTTCTTTAAACGTTGCTAAAACATCTATCGCAACGGTCAATGCACGTTGCAAAAAAAAAAAAAAAAAAAAAACAACAACAACAACAACGGTCTTTTAACGTTGCGAAAGGGGGTATTAGCAACAACCACTCAAAGAACGTTGTTAAATTTTAATTTTCTCAACCAATGGCAACATGCATTTGCTGAATGTTGCAATAAACCTCTTTTGGTAACATACAATTGGTGAATGTTGCCATTTAAATGTTGTAAAATGTCATTTTTCTTGTAGTGTAATAATTGTCAATTAATGGTGTAGGGGTGAATGTTGATACAAGATAAGTCAAAATATAACCTAATGCATGTATTATTTCAAATATTTATATTATGGATAATTAAATTTTTTGTAATTACATATTTGTTTGATTAATAAAAGATTCAAAGATTGCAATTATTAATTGAATTTATGGATTTAAAACCTTACTGTTCCTTTAGCCCAAGTTATTGAAAAGGTTTCAAAATTAAAAACAGTAATCGAAACAATATATTTCAAATGTTAAATAATAATAGCATATTAGAGAGTAATATGTAATAAAATTTTGGTGGAATCGCATTCAAATATGGCTTTTCATCTTACTTTTTAATGTTATTGAAAAAATTCATTTAATTACTTATTTGTAGATAGATGAATTAATTACTTAAAGGAATGAATGTAATTATGAAGATATTTTATATATTATAATGCTATCAGTACAAAAGCACGTTAGATTCGGAAGATTGACAAAGGACATCGCTGACAAATTACCAAAAAAAAAATAAGGCAAAAGTGGAAATTAAATGTTTTCCAGGGTAACCAACAAATAGTTTGAGTTTATCATCTAATGTTTGTATTTCTTTTTTTTACATAATCACAGATTTCTCATGAATGAATTGCATGCACTTCAGTAACCATTGCTACACAACTCAACCAAACCAAAAAACAATTGTTAAAAAATTGATTTCACATAGCCATTGAAACATAAGATAATATGTAAAAATAATAATAATAATAATAGTAAGGAATCTCAACTCTAAGAGAACGCAATAGCAAAATAAAGACTCAAAACAAGAGTGAGACTGAGAAATAATAAAAAAAAATCACCTAAAATTAATTTAAAGAAAAAAAGGGGCGGAGACGACGTAGAAAAAAGGAGAAAGGGTTACCATCAGAGATTTAAACCACTTAACTGAAAATTAAAATTTATCACATTTTTCCATTCTATAACATAATGATTATTATTAGGAGGTTAAAAGTCAAATTCTGAAATGAAAATTACTAACTAATTCAATTGGAAGAAATCCAAATAAATACAACTTAATAAATTTCAACCTTTCACCAATTAAATTGGAAGATTACCTTACACAGTTTATAGAAGAATTGTTGATGAAGATATGAATTGAATGTTGGAAAATGGTTAGTAAAATGGGTCAACTTTGAACCCAAATTTCAGTGGGATTCACACTTTAATTAATTTGGGACCTAGTGTATTCATGTTCAACTCCGCGAGGTGATTAACGTGATATATTTATTTGTCGAAAATCATTTAGAATTGAATGAAATATTGAATGTCAAAGTAACCCACTTGAAACTATAAATCATGAAAGAATTTGATTTATCAAACACTTATCCCACTTAGAAAAGTTAGGAAACTTTAGTGTAGTTTATATGGTGGAAGTTTGGGAATTGGATTTGGACCCCAAAGGGTACCAATAGTCTTTGGAAGGGGAGAGACCTATATTCTATTGGATTTGGTCATAAACCCACACGCATGCCCCGCTGTTGGCGGCGGGCGGCATGGCACGAGTTCGGTTTGGGTTCGAGTGGGTCCTTGTGCTATATTAACTTTTTAGACAAAAATTATTTGAATTTATTGGACCAAATTGTAAATAATCAAATTCTCGGGTACTTAATGAAATTAATTTTGGCTTATCTCCAGGTAATTTTTCTTGGTCTGGATGGTCTATTAAACAGTCGTTTATTAACCGACCAAACAATTGACTGTTAACAGATTAAACAGTCGTCTTTTAACTGACTAAACTGGCTCAGTATCGAACAAACATGTTTGTTCGAGTTTTGAAGGCTGCCTGAACAGTGATGATTGTTCGGGAGGATGTTTGAATGGCCACGAACAAGTTTACACATAGTCCATCCCACTACCAGAAAAATTACACCATTTTCATTGCAAATATCATCTGCATTGAATTTCATCCTCCCTCTATCTCGTTTTGATATTATTTTCGAAGTTAAAACACTTCGTTGCGTTCGTTGGAATTTCTGCAAATTACTGTGCTGTTTCTGTAGGAGATGAAATTCATTCTATCCTGGGAAACGATTGTTGGACACTTTTAGCACTGTTGAAGGCAACAAATTCATTTTAAGGAAATATCGTGAAGTCGGTGGGCTTGAATTAATTTTCTGATCCCATTGATCGTATTTTTACGCTGTTCAAAATTACATAAGGTAATTTTGTCGGATTATTTCAAAGGAGAAACTTGTACTCCAGAAACAACAATCTTAAAACGAATTTTTTTCTGGTTTATTCTGTTTCTACCCCTTCTTATAGTCCATCTTCTGATTGTGTTTCAAAAATGGCAACTTCTAGTACTACACTCCCGAATACGACCGGGGAAAAATCAGAGAAATTTAATGGGTCAGATTTCAAGCGCTGGCAACAGAAAATGCTTTTTTTTATCTGAAAACATTATGTTTAGCAAAATTTTTCAAAGAAGATGCGCCTTCATACACCAAGCAAGACAGTGATGTTGAGAAATTGACTACGGTTGATGCATGGAAGCATTCTAATTTTCTATGAAGAAATTATGTATTCAATGGACTGGATAACACATTATATAATGTATACTACAATGCGAAGTCTGTAAAAGAATTATGGGAATCTTTGGACATCAAGTACAAAACCAAAGATGCCGGCACAAAAAAATTCATTGTCGGTCGTTTTTTTTTTATTATAAAATGGTTGACAGCACGATTGTCATATTTCAAATTCAAGAACTTCAAATTGGCTAACCTGCTAGTTCATACTTCTGTTGAGCACTGTAAACTTTTATAATCTAGGAGTAATGTTTTGCATATGGGTGTGATAAGATATTATATGGTGCAATCATTTGAATCAATTAACTACCTAATCAATGTTTGAATCACATATCAAGAAGGTCATTTCAGAATCTGAAAATTTGTAGGTCAGAAAAAAAAGATACCTTTTACTCCCCATAAAGAACGTTATCTAAATAGATTGTATGATGAAGACAATTATGTGCCCTTAGGATTTGCATTACGTGCTAGGAGGAATTTCATTAGATGATAAAGTAAAAAGACATTAGTGGTAATTTTTGCTGTTAAATAGAATTCTTTGAAAATTGAAACCTTGATAGCATTTGAGTTTTCATTCAATTGAAGAAAATATAAAAAACTGCCTGGAACTGATAAATGAAATCCAACAAGTTCTTAGTTAGTGTTATATGTAAAATATAATTATTGTAACTAGAAAATCAGTAGTCTTCCACTCCTTTTTTCATTTTTCCTACTGTTTTGGGAAGGAATTTTTTTCATTTCCTTTTCCTTGTACCATTGAGAAAGTTATTTTATCGTAACAAATGGGTGGCATATCCTTCCTCAGAATGGTGTTTAGGTGAGGCTGACACTTCATTTTTCCTTGTCTGTGTATTTTAGGACAATGCAGTGTGCATCCCAGTTTGAGAGATTTTTTACGATGTAATGTTTCTAATTAGTCTTATGAGAAATTGGCTACGATTGATGCATGGAAGCATTCTGATTTTCTATGCAGAAATTATGTATTCAATGGACTGGATAACAGTTTATATAATGTATACTACAATGCGAAGTCTGCAAAAGAACTATGGGAATCTTTGGACACCAAGTACAAAACAGAAGATGCCAGAACAAAAAAATTCATTGTCGGTCGTGTTTTTGGATTATAAAATGGTTGACAACACGATTGTCATATCTCAAGTTCAAGAACTTCAAATTCTACTCAGCGACATTTATGCAGAAGGAATGAAACTAAGTGAATCATTTCAAGTTGCTGCAATGATTGAGAAATTACATCCTTCCTGGAAGGACTTCAAGGATTATCTAAAGCATAAGCGGAAGGAAATGAAACTTGAAGATATCATTGTCCAATTGAGAATTGAAGAAGACAATTGCAAATCTGAAAAAAGGAGTGGTGTATCTCATGTGATGGAATCGAAAGCCAACATTGTGGAAGGAAGTTTAAAGATAAGTAAAAAGAGGAAGCACAATGGAGAAGGACAAACCGGTTCTTCAAAAACTGCTAAAAAGTTCAAAGGTAACTATTACAATTGTGGCAAGGCAGGACTTCGATCCAAAGAATTTCAAGGGAAAAACTCATCAGGCCAGTGTAACGGAACACAACAACCTCTCCGATAAGGTACAAGATATAAATATTTTTGTGGTCGTCTCTGAATGCAGCTTAGTTGGAAACACTAAGGAATCGTGGGTGGATACTGGAGCTACTCGTCATATGTGCTCAAATCGTGGGATGTTCTCTACCTACAAAGCGATGGATCATGATGAACACCTCTACGTGGGAAACTCTTCATCTTCCAAGGTATAATGACATGGAAAGATAG